GGCTGGAGCTGGGGGTACTGGAGCTGCCGGGACTGGTTGTTCTGGGAGCACTACGACTGGAGCTGCTGGAGCTGGGGACTCTGGAGCTGGCGGCGCTAGCGGAGTTGTAGCTGCCGACTCTGGGGGTGCTCTTCCTTGCGGTGCTGCGGACCCTGGGGGTGGTGCTGCTGCTGGTGCTGCGGACCCACCTGGTGGAGCTGCTGCTGGAGCTGAGGACCCGAGCGGTGGCGCTGCTGCTGGTGCTGGGGACCCGGACGCTGGAGTCTCTTCTGCTTCTGGAGACGCTGCGCGGCCGCGGCCGTACTTCGTACCGCTCCTTCAGCAGGTTCTTGGGCAGGCTCCTCCTCCTTGTCCTCCTCCCTCCGTAGAGTGTCCTCCGACTGTCCAGCCGCAGTCACAGTTACCGCCTGCCTCGCCTCTCCCTGCTCCCTCTCCTTACACTGGTCCCACAGGAGGTCTTACAGAGCGTCGTGAGCCTGAGTCTCGTCCTGCGTCGCCTGTCCGTACTGCTCGCACTGGTCGTCGTGTCCGTCGTGAGCGTCCTCCTCCTGTCCCAGGCACTCACTACATGACTCTGCGTCCCTCTACTGCTCCTCAGCGTGTCCCTCTGCCGTCTCCTCCTGCGTCCTCTTTGCCTGCTGTTCCGGACCCTGAGTCTGACCGGTATCGCGCTGAGCACCCTACTGTCACGCGTCTCCTAGCTACTGTTGTCACTGACCCTACCTTTGAGTCCTCGGCTGCGTCTGCTCTGGTCGCTGAGTTGGTTGACTTTGCTGCTGCCTGTCGTCTAGACTACGCTGCTCGCCTTGTTGCTGGGTCTGAGTCTGCGTCTGTCTGTCCTCCGTCCGTCGGGGGTGAGTGTGCTCTTGGCACGGACGTCCTTGAGGACAGGCAGGAGGACTTTGACTCTCTCGCGGCTGCTGTACCTCATCTCGTGGCCTGGTTGCTTGCCCCTGAGGGAGACCCGGATGCACTAGACATCCCCACTCCGCGCACTTACGCAGAGGCGATCTCGGGTCCCTACTCCTCTCAGTGGCAGACAGCCATGGACGCAGAGATGGCATCCTGGAAGTCCACAGGCACCTACGTCGACGAGGTTCCCCCTCCTGGGGCGAACATCGTCGATGGCATGTGGATTTTCAGGGTGAAGCGGCCGCCAGGTTCTCCGCCTGTCTTCAAGGCTCGTTACGTTGCTAGAGGCTTCAGTCAGCGTCAGGGGGTCGACTTCTTCCAGACCTTCTCCCCCACCCCGAAGATGACCACTCTTCGGGTTCTGCTGCACGTTGCTGCTCACCGTGACTACGAGCTTCACTCTCTTGACTTCAGCACAGCGTTCCTGCAGGGCAGCCTGCACGAGGAGATCTGGCTGCGCCGCCCACCTGGCTTTACTGGGTCGTTTCCTCCTGGTACCCAGTGGAGCCTCCGCCGGCCAGTCTACGGTCTCCGCCAGGCGCCACGCGAGTGGCACGACACACTGAGGACTACACTTGCGGCTCTTGGGTTCGCGCCGTCTACTGCTGACCCGTCGCTGTTTCTGCGCACAGACACGTCGCTGCCGCCGTTCTACATTCTCGTGTACGTCGATGACTTGGTCTTTGCTACTGCTGACACTGAGGCTCTCGCCCTCGTGAAGTCGGAGCTGCAGAAGAGACACACCTGCACTGACCTGGGTGAGCTGCGTAGCTACCTTGGCTTGCAGATCACCCGGGACAGAGCTCGCCGCACCATCACCCTGACTCAGTCACACATGGTGCAGCAGGTCCTTCAGCGCTTCGGCTTCCAGTTCTCCTCACCACAGGCCACACCTCTGGCTACCAGCCACTCGCTCTCAGCTCCACCTCCGGACGAGTCCGTAGAGCCGAGTGGCCCGTACCCAGAGCTTGTGGGCTGCCTCATGTACCTGATGACTTGCACGCGACCTGACCTCGCGTACCCTCTTAGCATCCTTGCTCGTTACGTTGCGCCTGGGAGACACAGGCGAGAGCACTGGGAGGCTGCTAAGAGGGTGCTGCGCTACTTGTGCAGTACATCAGGCATGGGGCTGGTGCTTGGAGGACGCGACAGAGTTGTCCTCACTGGCCACTCGGACGCTTCTTGGGTGGACGACCTGGCTACGCAGCGGTCGTCACAGGGTTACACCTTCAGCCTTGGCTCTGGTTCTGTCTCGTGGCGGTCCACCCGCTCTTCTTCTGTTCTCGGCTCTAGTTGTGAGGCTGAGATCTACGCCACAGCCATGGCTGCCCAGGAGTTACGCTGGCTCACCTACCTGCTGACTGACTTGGGAGAGCGGCCTAGTTCTCCTCCAGTTCTGTACGGTGACAACAAGGCGGCCCTTGCCTTGTGTCAGGAGCACAGACTGGAGCACAGGACGAAGCACATTGCTCTTCGCTACTTTCTTGCTCGAGAGCTGCAGCAGCGAGGTCAGCTTCGGCTTGTGTACGTGGACTCGAAGGCCAACACTGCTGATATCTTCACCAAGGCGCTCCCGCCTAGTGATCATCAGCGGCACTGTACTTCCTTAGGCCTTGTGTCCACATTCCCTCATTTGCTTACTGCTTGACTTTCTTTGTACTGTCCTTTATATATATCTCGTTGCTTGCTTGCTAGGTCTTGATCACTGTGTTGCTTGTCTTGTACTATATCTAGCACTGCATGTGAACTGGCCTTGTGGCCTTTGCTTGTGCTCGGAGTGTGGTGACGTTGTGATCCACCCTGGGCTTGCTTTGCTTTGCTAGACTGGTCTTGTGACCCTTTGTTCTCCCCCACTTTGCCTATGGGGGTGTGTTAAACTGTGTTATGTTGGTAGGCTGTAGTGGGGTAGCCAGTATGGGGTACAACCCCAACTAGGGTTTGCTACTTGTACCCAATTCTTCCATTCAATGACATCCTTGCTTAGTCCTGTTGATAGCAACCGCAGCAGTTCGCGAAGGACTCTACTTACAGGAACTCCTGCTGGAGGCGAAAATCCCAGCTTCGCCCACCTTTCGTCTTCACTGCGACAACCAGAGCGCGATTCGGATCGCGAACAAACCTGGTTTCGTTAACCGCACCAAGCACATTGCGCTGCGGTACTTCTTCGTGAAGGACGAAGTAGACAAGGGCAAGGTCAACTTGACCTATTGCCCGACCAGTTACATGGCAGCAGACTTCCTCACGAAGCGACTGCCACGCCAGCAGTATCAGCACTGCTCCAAACTCAGCGGCGTGGTCAAGCAGGTCAAGTCGAGCTACGGCCAGGAGTGAAGGGGGGTGTTACGAATAAGTAATACCCGAGTGTTACTGTGCACTCCTTACCGCAGCTAAGGAAGCATGCAGTATCGAGAACGAACGCGAGGAGTCATACGGTTGAGAATTGACTCGAAGCGTCAGACAGCACACACCTGGACCGTCGGGGCAGATGGCATCGACAGCTGCAGGCAGGATGGCTTTGGCGGGAACAGTTTTGTAACTGTACGCGCCGCACGGTTGGGAATGAATTTGAATAAGGGAATGTACCCCTTAGAGTACATGGCTAGCTAGGACGTTTCGCCTTCCCTGTACTCTTATTTATATCGTTGTATTTGCATGTTTTAATCATCTCAAGCATTTTACATTCACTCTGCTATTGAGGTCAAGGGCCCACCAACTTCATTTCTCTGTGTGCGAATCTTCCTGAGTAGATCCTGGGAACGATCAACTTCTGATCGTAGCACAACCTAATTAGGGTTAGTACTTGTACCAACTTTCTCATCAATGCATTCATTCCTGCTACTAGATTCTAACATGGTGTAAGAGCAAGTCCTGTTCTAGGAGCGCCTTCGTTAGGGCCCACCCGAACGTTCCTGTGCATCATGCTGCCCTACTCGTTGCACTGCCTTGCCATGCCCTGCCCTGCGTCGCGCCGCCCCGCGCACGCCCTGCCTGCGTTGCACTGCCCGCGCGCCCTGCCCTGTTTCGCGCCGCCTCGCGCACGCCCTGCCTGCGTCGCGCCCCACCCGCGTGCGCCCTGCCCTGCCCGTCACGCGACCCGCGCACGCCCTGCCCTGCCCGCGCGCCGCGCGTACGCCCTGCCCTGCCCGTCGCGCGGCCCGCGCACGCCTTGCCCTGCCCGCTCGCCACGCGTACGCCCTGCCCTGCCTGCCGACCGACCCCTGCACGCCCTGCCCTGCCCGCGCGCCGCGCGTATGCCCTGCCCTGCGTCGCGCTGCCCGCGCACGCCCTGCCCTGCCCGTCGTGCGACCTGCGCACGCCCTGCCCTGCCCGCGCCGCGCGTACGCCCTGCCCTGCCCGTTGCGCGACCCGCATGCGCCCTGCCCTGCCTACGCACCGCGCGTACGCCCTGCCTTGCCCGTCGCGCGTACGCCCTGCCCTACCCTGCAGCTCGCGCACCGCCCCTGGCAGCCCGCGCGCCACCCTAGCGGCCCACGCGTCGCCCTTTACGGCCCGCGCGCTGCCCCTTGCCTGCCCGCGCGCCCTCCCCTGCCTACACGCCGCCCTACTTGCAGCGCGCCGCCCTGATCTGACCGTGTGCCGCCCCGCCCTACCCTACGCGCTAACCCTAGTGCCTGCTCGCCGCCCTCCCTTCCCTACGTACGACCCTGCTGGTCACACGCCTCCTTGCTTTGCCCGCTATGACTTCTCTTCGTGGTAGCAGTGGGAGTGGTGGCGGCGGCCGTAGTGGCAGTCGCGGTGGAGCTGTTCAGTGGGGAGTTTCTGGCGGTGGCCAGATGCAGCTGCGGCGGCTTCCGCGCGTGACCCTTACGTCCCAGCAGCTCAATGAGTGGTACGCTCAGCGTGGTGCGTCTCGGAGTACTGCTCGCTACCCGTACGTTATTCGCACAGGTGCTCGGGCAAGTCAGACTTGCATGACACCTAGCCACACACAGTCCCGCTGCTTCGCCTATCTGAGCGACGCCTGGCGTACCGAGTTTGGCGACGAGGCTGAGCTCCCCCACTGGCTAGAGCTACTTAGGAACAGAGTGGATATATTTGCTCTAGACTATGACGCTATCCTTACTGCCATGTATGCTTTGACTGTTGGTACTGAGGGTGACTGTTACCTGTGTGTGCCGCCCGAACCTGGTATAGTGGCTGCTGCTCTAGGTGCTAGTGAGTCTGCTCTCTCTGGTACTGCGCCTGCTGAGGCCTTGCCCACCTTCACGCTTGACTCAGGTGCCTCTCGCTGCTTCTTTCGCGACAGTACCACAGTCACACCACTCCCTAGACCCGTTGCAGTCTCACTGGCTGACCCCTCTGGAGGCCTTGTTCTTGCACGTTCCTCCACTGTTCTCCCATAATCCGGCAGTTCCGTCTGGCTCACTGTCAGGTCTCCACATCCCCTCGTTCTCGACGAACTGGGTGAGTAAGACGGTTCTTTAGGATGCAGGGGTTGATACCTTTGTCCCTGGAGGACAACGTGTGGCGATCTGCACGTGCTCCCGGACTGGCCACGTTCACCCGTCGGCCTGGGTCGAGTCTGTACACACTGACTACTGCGCCTCCTCAGGTCGCTGCGTCAGGTCAGGTAGCCGCCTCTTTCTCGTGTCGCCTCCTGTCGCACCAGACTCTCCTCTGGCACCACCACCTTGGTCACCCCTCCCTGCCACGCCTTCGTGGCATGTACTCCCTCCTGCTTGTCTCTGGTCTTCCCAGGTCTCTGCCTCCCCTCCCACCCTCGCCTGCCCCGCCCTGCATTCCTTGCATCGAGGGGCGGTAGCGCGCCGCTCCTCACTCCTCCTCGTTTCCCCCGACGACTGCTCCCCTGCAGACTCTCCATATGGACGTGTGGGGCCCAGTCGGCGTCCGTGGACAGGGCCGCGAGCGGTACTTTCTGCTGGTTGTTGACGACTACTCGCGTTACACCACGGTCTTCCCCTTGCGCAACAAGGGGGAGGTCCTTGATGTCTTGATCCCTTGGATCCGAGCTGTTCGTCTCCAGCTGCGCGAGCGGTTCCGCACGGACCTTCCTGTCCTGCGTCTGCACTCTGACAGATGTGGTGAGTTTTCCTCCAACCTCTTGAGGGACTTTTGTCAAGGGGAGGGCATCCTCCAGTCGTTCACGCTTCCGGCCTCCCCGCAGCAGAATGGGATTGCTGAGCGTCGCATTGGCTTAGTCATGGAGGTCGCTCGTACCTCCATGATCCATGCGGCTGCCTCCCATTTTCTGTGGCCGTTTGCGGTCCGGTACGCTGCGCATCAGCTCAACCTCTGGCCCCGTGTCTCCTTGCCGGAGACCTCGCCTACACTGCTTTAAACGCGGAAGGTTGGCGATGCGTTGGTGTTCTGGGTCTGGGGCTCTCGTGCCTTTGTCCACGATACCTCTGCTCCTCCCGCACCATTCCCTGTGTCTTCCTTGGCTTCCCTCCTGACGCGCCTGGTTGGCAGTTCTACCACCCCACCTCGCGCCGTGTCCTGCCCTCTCAGGACGTCACGTTTGACGAGTCGGTTCCCTTCTACCGTCTCTTCCCCTACCGGTCAGCCCCTCTCCCCCCTCCGCCGCTCTTCCTCGCTCCAGGTCCCCCTCCGGTAGACCCCCTCCCCCCTCAGGGTCCTGCTCCTTCAGGTGTCTCTTCGGTAGACCCACTTCCCTTAGCTGAGCCTGTCGAGGTGACAGGTGACTCTGGTGCTGCTAGGGGTGGTGCTGCTCAGGGTACTGCGTCTGGGGGTATTGAGCCTGAGCGTGCGGAGCCTAGGGGTGCTGAGCCTGAGCGTGCGGAGCCTGGGAGTGCTGAGCCTAAGCGTGCGGAGTCTGGGGGTGCTGAGCCTGTGCGTGTAGAGCCTGAGGTTACTGCGCCTGGGGGTGCTGCGTCTGGGGGTGCTGAGCCTGGGGGTACTGAGCCTGGGGGTGCTGTGTGTGCTGGTAGTCCTCCGAGTTCCTCGCTGCAGCGGTCTAGCCAGCGAGAGCCTCTCTCGCCCCAGCAGCTGCGCGAGTGGTTTGCTCGGCGCACCCGCCTTCGGAGTCGCGCTGCTGCAGCTGGAGGCGCAAGAGCTGGAGGCACTGGAGCTAGAGGCGCTGGAGCTGGAGGCACCGACGCTGGAGGTACTGGAGCTGGAGGTGCTGGAGCTGGAGGCGCTGGAGCTGGAGGTGCTGGCGCTGGAGGCACTGGGACTGGAGACCCTGGCGCTGGAGGCGTTAGAGCTAGTGGCACTGGAGGTGCTGGAGCTGGAGGCGCTGGAGCTGGAGGTGCTGGCGCTGGAGGCACTGGGACTGGAGACGCTGGCGCTGGAGGCGCTGGAGCTGGTGGCACTGGAGCTGGAGCTGGTGGCACTGGAGCTGGAGCTGGTGGCGCTGGAGCTGGAGGTGCTGGCGCTGGAGACCCTGGAGCTGGAGTTACTGGCGCTGTGGGCACTTTGCAGCAGCGCCCGTTTTTCTTGCCGCCGTCGCAGCTGTCCGACCTGTCGCCTAAGTCTGTACTCCGTCAGGTTCTTAGTCTTCCTTCGTCCACTGCCCTTCCTCCGGACTCGCCCTTGCCTGCCCCGCCTCGTTACGCTGAGCAGCGAGCCTCCCTTACCGAGCGTCATGAGCCTGCGTCTCGTCCTGCCTCCCCTGTTCGCACTGTTCGTCGTGCTCGTCGTGTCCCTCGTCCGCGTCCTCCTCCTGTGCCAGGCACTCACACTATGGCACTTCGTCCTTCCTCTGTTCTGTAGCGTGTCCCTCTGCCGTCTCCTCCTACATCCTCTCTTCCTGACGTTCCAGAACCTGAGTCTGACTTGGTCCGAGCTGCCAGTCCCACTGTCACGCGTCTCCTGGCCACAATCGTCATTGACCCGTCGTTTGAGTCTACTGCTGCGTCTGCCTTAGTTGCTGAGCTTGTGGACTTTGCTGCTGCGTGTCGTCTCGACTACGCTGCTAGTCTTGTTGCTGAGTCTGAATCTGTCTGTCCTCCGTCCGTCGGGGGTGAATGTACTCTTGGCACGTCCCTGAGGACAGGCAGGAGGACTTTGAGTGTCTTACGGCTGCTGTACCTCATCTCGTGGCCTGGCTGCTTGCACCTGAGGGAGACCCGGATGCACTAGACATCCCGACCCCGCGCTCTTACGCAGAGGCGATTTCGGGTCCCTACTCCTCTCAGTGGTAGACAGCCATGGACGCAGAGATGGCATCCTGGAAGTCCACAGGCACCTACGTCGATGAGGTCCCCCCTCCTGGGGTGATCATAGTCGATGTCATGTGGATTTTCAGGGTGAAGCGGCCACCGGGTTCTCCGCTTGTCTTCAAGGCTCGTTACGTTGCACGACCCTTCAGTCAGCGACAGGGAGTTGACTTTTTCCAGACCTTCTCCCCTACCCCGAAGATGACCACTCTTTGGGTGCTGCTGCACGTTGCCGCTCAGCGTGACTACGAGCTTCACTCTCTTGACTTCAGCACAACGTTCTTACAGGGCAGCCTGCACGAGGAGATTTGGCTGTGCCACCCACCTGACTTCACTGGGTCGTTCCCTCCTGGTACCCAGTGGAGCCTCCGGCGGCCAGTCTACGGTCTCCGCCAGGCGCCTCGTGAGTGGCATACACACTGAGGAAGACGCTTGCAGCTCTCGGGTTTCCTCCTTTTACTGCTGACCCGTCGCTGTTTCTGCGCACAGACACTTCGCTGCCGCGGTTCTACATCCTCGTGTACGTCGATGACTTGGTCTTTGCCACTACTGACACTGAGGCACTGGCCCTTATGAAGTCGGAGCTGCAGAAGAGACACACGTGCACAGACCTGGGTGAGCTGCGCAGCTACCTTGGCTTGCAGATCACCCGGGACAGAGCACGTCGCACCATCACCCTGACTCAGTCATACATGGTGCAATAGGTTCTTCAGCGCTTCCGCTTCTGGCTCTCCTCACCACAATCCACTCCTCTGCCTACCGGTCACTCGCTCTCAACTCCACCCTCGGACAAGTTTGTAGAGCCGAGTGGCCCGTATCCAGAGCTTGTGGGCTGCCTCATGTATCTGATGGTCTGCACTCGACTTGACCTTGCGTACCCTCTTAGCATCCTGGCTCGCTACGTTGCACCTGGGAGACACCGGCGAGAGCATTGGGAGGCTGCTAAGAGGGTGCTGCGCTACTTGTGCAGTACATCAGGCATGGGGTTGGTGCTTGGAGGACAGGGTCGAATTGTCCTCACTGGACACTCAGACGCCTCTTGGGTTGATGACCTGGCTACGCAGCGGTCGTCTCAGGGTTACACCTTCAGCCTTGGTTCCGGCTCTGTTTCTTGGCGGTCTACCCGTTCTTGTTCTGTTCTTAGCTCCAGTTGTGAGGCTGAGATCTACGCCATGGCTGCACAGGAGTTACGCTGGCTCACCTACCTGTTGACTGACTTGGGAGAGTGGCCTAGTTCTCCTCCAGTTCCATACGTAGACAACAAGGCTGCTATTGCCTTGTGTCAGGAGCACAGACTGGAGCACAGAACGACTCACATTGCTCTACGCTACTTCCTGGCTCGAGAGTTGCAGCAGCGTGGCCAGCTTCGTCTTGCTTACGTGGCCACTCGGGCCAACACAGCTGATATCTTCACCAAGGCACTTCCGCCTGGTGATCATCAGCGTCTGTGTACTGCTTTAGGCCTTGTGCCTACGTTTGCTCACTTGCTCACTGCGTGACCTTGCTTGTACTGTGATCTATATATATACCTGCATGCTTTCACTTGCTAGGTTGTGATCACTATACTGTTTATTTTGTTTTATATAATGCTCCATGTGAATTGGCCTTGTGGCCATCTGCTTGTGCTCGGAGTGTGTGGTGACGTTGTGATCCACCCTGAGCTTGCTTTGCTTTTTCTGTGACTGCTTGTACTCCCCCACCTTGCCTATGGGGGTGTGTCAGAACATTGTGCTGTGTAGGCTGTAGTGGGGTAGCCAATATGGGGTACAACCCAATTAGGGTTAGTACTTGTACCAACTTTCTCATCAATGCATTCATTCCTGCTGCTAGATTCTAACATCCTTGCCACATGAAAAGGGTAAATTTCAACACTAAGGGTGTGGTCCTGCCTTGACGCGTCTTCAAAATTTGTGTCACAATCGATTGTACCGGTCCGAAATGCACCAAATTATACCCCCAACATTTTTGAATAAGATCTAGCTTAGGTTTAGTTCGGTACAGAGCGGTAGATGAATGTGTTGGAAAAAAAAAAAAAGGAAGAAAAAGGGAAATTTTTTTTGTTGGTTGATAATTAACCGACAGGAAAAATTGTAGCACACCCTCAAGAGTTGTTCTTTTCAGTCCTGTTCATGGTAGAACGTGGCTACATGGTGCATGTTTTTTTTACCAGCCCATGTGGTGCATGGCGCTTGCACCAGTCCATGTGGGACACGTGTTGTGTTTCCACCTGCTAATATGGGTATAGATCATGAAACAGATAATACGCGACATGCATTGTGGTTCGCGGAACCTTATTGCGAATGAAGTTTGCACCAGCCCATGTTTACATGTATGGTAGCCCATCTGGGCCATGCATAGTGCATGCACCTGCCCATATGGGGTATCAATGGTGTTTAGATCAGCCCATGTGGTGCATGGCGCTTGCACAAATTATGGGCCATGCATGGTGCTTGGAGCAACCTATTTGGGAAATAAAGCTTGCACCAGTCCATGTTTTGTAGGCATGGTAACCCAAACGAACCATATATGGAGCTTGAACCTGCCCATATGGGGTATTAATGGTGTTTAGATCAGCCCATTTGGTGCATGAGGATTGGACCCGAAATCATGGAGGTATGTATGGTGCTTGGAGCAACCAGTTGAGAAAGAAATCTTGCACCAACTCATGTTTTGCATGCACAACAGCCGATATGGGCCGGGCATGGTGCTTGCACCTGCCCATATGGGGTATCACTGGTGTTTAGATCTTTTCCCATGTGGTGCATGGTGCTTGGACCCAAAAGCATGGGGCATGCATGGTGCTTGGAGTAACCTAATTGAGAAAAAAAGCTTGCACCAGCCCATGTTTAGCATGTATGGTGCTTATACCAGCCCATACGCGGCATGCAAGGTGCTTGCGCAGGCCCATGTAGGGCATGTATGGTGTGTGGTACTTGTAACAAGCCATATGTGGGATGTATGCTGCTCACAACAGCCCATATAGGGCATGCACGGAGTTTGCAGCAGCCCATTTGAGAAATAGAGCGTGTAGCAGACCATTTGGGGCATGCGCAAACAAAATACATTCACCACTTCAAACCAGTCCACACGGTACTCTAACAGCGAGCAATGCATCAAGTGGCCCAAGCTGCTATTTGCAAGACATCCACGGCCCCGTGTCTTAATGAGGTTTTGCTTGGAGAAACCTCGTTTACACTCTACATTGCTCAGTGGCGGTACTGCCACAACCTGCCTGAGACGGATGATGTTCTGGTAACTCCTTTGCCATGCATCGCCCTCCAGAATCAGCGAGAGGGCTTGCCGAAAGTCCTCATCCAGATGATGCGAGTGCATTGTGGTGGTGAACATCCACAGTTCAGATTGTGCTCAGAGGTCATTGAAAACTGTCAAAGGCATAACGAACGATTTGGTGGCAGAACATTAAAACAGTTTAAGGCAGGGAAAAACAGTAACCAGAAATAACCTATGTATAAACGCAAACACTACATTGGGTATAGTCTAGTTATATCGAGACAGTGGTGGATTTGGCATAGAATTGCTTACCAGGAAGTTTCTCGCGGTTCATTCAGCTGCCTCATCCATCGCCTGAAGGCAGCATGGTGCTTGTCATCGTCTTGCAGATAGCACTTGCTCTTGAACAGCTTCGCCCCCTCCAGATTGTTGAGGTCTTTCATGCGCCCTTTCAGGTTCTTGTTGACCTCCCTTGCGAACTTGATGGCGATCTCGACATATGCAATCACGTCCCCTCTCGCCTGTTATCCTAGCAGGGCTCGTGAAGAGTATAGAGGCTTGTCAATGGGTTGCCGTCATAGTCAACCCCCTCTGCCGCATCCTCGCAACTCTCTAGCTTCGCATGCGCTGCCAAGAAGATGGGCAACTACACTCTGACACCCTCCCCAAACAATCCTATTGTTCGGGGTATGATGTAGCGACGCTCGATCCACTTCGTTGTTTCCTCAACCAGTAACACCACCATCGTCACATCCACCTGAGGGTGGGGCCATTCCATGCAAGGAGGGGTGAAAGGCAGAGGACATAGAGCTACAGCCGATTACGAGGATGGATTCAAGTGAGGGCACAGAGCGAACCATGAAATATAGCAGGCAAATGCACGTGTAAGCAAGAAATGGTGCCACAAACCTGGCGTTGCTGAAACCTGGTGTTAAGCTGGTTGAGCTTGTAGAGGATGTCGGCAAGGAACCTCAGTAGGAACTGAGATTTGAAAGACGTGACCACTTCAAACAGTTTGCGTTGGTTTTCTTCAAGCAGCACGCCAACCGCGGGCAAGACCTCGAGCAAGCATTGCACAACCTCGCCGAGAGAAAGCCAACAAATAGTGTGGATCCCTTGCGGCTCCAGATTCGTTTGGCAGAGCACCCACTCTAGGTTCATGAATCTCTGGTATTGGAGGTGGAACTGGCTGAGACTCGTTGCCACTGCGCGAACGACGTTGTCTATCATGTCGAGCCCCGGACAAGATAAGGCGCATCTTTAGCGGACAGCGCCGCACTATACGCGGGGGTGAAGAAACAAGCACCAAAATGTCGTGTTGGTGAGGTACTTCACGAAGTCTAAAACGTTATCACTAGAAACCACTCACCGATGCGTGAAGCAGTGGGTGGCCAGTAGATGTTCGACATGCGCACGAAGCCAGTCGACCACTCTGGTCTCGCCTCCCATCATCACCGATGCACCGTCAATGGCAATGACTGAAATCCGCTGCAGGTCAAGCCCGATTTGCTGGAAGTACTGCAGAAAAACTGTGGTCAACTTCAGTAAGGTAAGCAATTATGAGACAATAGCGGTTCCTTTAAAGAAAGTTTTGTATACAATGAGGTGCTTGCCATGCACACGATCAGTACTCTAATCGACACTGGTCCCCACCCATGGTGATCAAAGTACGTGCCCCAGTTGAAGGTCCCGCCGATATTTCGAGGTAGCAGCAATACATTCTCAAAAGCCGTACCTGCCATCAATAAAGACACAAAATACACATATTAAGCCAGGGTCTCAAGTACAAGTGTTTTGCAGTTGATGGTGAAAGTTTGGCTGTGATTGGTTAGCGAAGTAAAAGGTTTGAAGTGGATTGAAGCGAGGGGTGCGAAGCAAACTCAAATCGCTGGTTGTACCCAAACCTTCTAGGCTTGGAAACTTGCCTCGGAGCCAAACCTAAAATGCCCCCAACTCATCCAAAGTGTCAAGTACCCAAAAGTGTTGTGCAATCGCTTCTGAGGATATGACATGGTGTGTCGCAAGCTGTTTTTTCAATCCAACCAGAGAGAACTTTGTCTGCAATAACTAGGTAACCTTGCTTCAACTGCTTTGCAGTTGACGACTCCTTAGCTTACTTGAGACCCTGGCTTTAAGCATAAGATGGTAACATCTGCATGAATGCATGACTTCCCTTCTTACTCTGAATAGTACGACCCATATGTGCCGCCAGGAGGGAGGTCTGCCAATCCTTTCTTGTCAGGAAGCAACATAGTGACACAAACAGTACTTTGCACACAAACATTGCAATGTGCAGAGTGCGGATGAGATACTTGGTGAGTCAGATGTCTGCCACCTGTCGATGGTTACTTGGCGCGCGGTTGCAGCCTCTGCATCCGCTTCTTACTTCATAGCCGCCTTGTGTACACGTGTTGCAACGTGCATACGGATGCTCCCGAGATGCAGATCACGCCCACCTTCTCCTCTTCTTTAGTAGCTTGTATTTGCGCCAGGATCACCGTGCTGCGTACATATCTGACATTCAAGCGCGGACGACTGTGACCAATCATTAGTAAAACGATGTGACACCACCTCATACTCAGCCTCGGGTTCGTCTGGTGCTGTAGACTCGTCAGCCGGAGTAATCCTCGGATCCACCGGCACAACCATGGTAGATGGCGAGCGACGCGGAGGTGGGACCCATACAAGGCGTTGCTGGGCCCACTTGCATGCCTTATTCCACTTCACCTGCATGTTGGTATTGGTAGCAGGCGTAGTTGCCACTGGCATTGACGAGCCTTAGCCACCGTTGTCATCAAAGGACGTCTCAAGCTGGTAAGTGGTGGGAGTTGTTGGCAGTTCGTCCTCAAGGGCATCGTCTACTGGCCTTACGGGCGACTACGGCCTAGCGGGATATGAGAATGACGTGTCAGAATTCCAGCCACTAACCACTGGGATAAAAGGGCTTGTTTGTGTAGTGGGTGAGTGCGGTCATAACCCCCCAGGCCGCCGTGCCTGTAACCCTTCCCTAGGATCAATCGGGGATCTCCAGTGGACCTCTGACATGACGGTGCGACGGGGAGGGGAAGAGGAAACAATCCTAGAACGCTGAGGCCGTTTTTTATGTTGCCTGGAGCATCTGCATTAGCTCCGTTGTGATCCATAGCGAGAGAGTTGAAGATACGGCATGCTTGGGAGAACTCCCCTCAAGAAGGCAAGGAAGCAAAAGGGCACGTTGATGGCCTCGTTTCTCCACAACCGCGTCGCCATGGCAGTGTTGTCCTTGATGGCATCATTTAGGGACTGCTGTCGGTGCCTGCTGCCCAATCCGACAACACAAAGGTATGCGTTGGACCTTGAAGGCAGCATACAAGCACTTGTGGCGACAATCTCAGGTGCAGTGTGGCCACGCTTGCCGGGCAAAACGATGAGAAGACAGCCTGGTGGTGATGGAAAATGCTGCTGTATCAGTAGTCTGTTTCGGACACATAACACCCTCTGATAGTTACATCTGCACAGACTCCAATTTGTCTTGGTACATGCTGCCTATATAATTCTTCCATTTATTATTGGTAGATACATGTTGCCAATAAAAATTCATACCAATGTGAGATCACCTTGTTGATTCTCTTCACACCAATAATCCATATTGGATGTAACCATTGGAGGGTGTGCTAGGAGGGCTGCTTTAAATGTACACGTCTGTCTTGATTTTCAAAGAATTGTGGCAAGCAGTGTTTCGAATGTCAGTCATCATGAGCAAAAAAAGCAAAGTTGCTTTCCTGCAAATGGCAAGGTCAAGAAACAGAGGGAGGCAATGCCAGGAGGGCAGGAACAGGAGAGGGCAAGACCAGGAAAGCAGAAAACAAACAGATAATAGGCAAATTGGTGAACCATAGAATAGAACATCACTGGTAAACTGAACAGCATTGACTAGAGCTGACCTGAGCTGCGGGACGGCTGCGTTTGACCTAGATTGACCAGCATTGACTAGAGCTGACCTGAGCTGCGAGACAGCTGCGCTGACCTAGATTGACCAGCATTGACTAGAGCTGACCTGAGCTGCGAGACGGCTGCGTTTGACCTAGATAGACCAGCATTGACTAGAGCTGACCTGAGCTGCCAGACGGCTGCGTCTGCGGGCCACAGAGCGATTGCGACTGGCCTCGGAGTTTGGAGAGAGAATCATACGCTGAGGGGAGGGAGGGGAAAAGGAAGGGGGAAGAGGGGGGTGGAAACGACAGGGGAAAAAGGGGAGGAACGTGTGGAGCCAGTTCAGCTGATGTTTTACAAGCCAGTGAGCCACAGAGCGATTGCGACTGGCCTCGGAATTTGGAGAGGGATGCATACGCTGAGAAAAAGCTGGAGTCATAAGGCAAGAAATTCATCAATAGATGGCAATCTTCCCGCTTTGACAACTCTAGCCAGCACAGGGGGGAAGGAAGGCCAAGAACTAGCCACGTGATAAAAGTGATGTTTTGCGATGTCTCAAAACAGCACAGGGTGGAAGGCAGACTTGGAACTAGCCACGTGATAAAAGTGATGTTTTGCGACGTTTCAAAACAGCACAGGGTGGAAGGCAGGCTTGGAACTAGCCACGTGATAAAAGTGATGTTTTGAGATGTCTTAAAACAGCACAGGGTGGAAGGCAGGCCAAGAACTAGCCACGTGATAAAAGTGATGTTTTGAGATGTCTCAAAACAGCACAGGGTGGAAGGCAGGCCAAGAAGCAGGGAGGGAGGAAGAGGGAAGGGCAAGACGAATGGGTGAAGAGTCTTGAGCTGATACAGCAGTTTTGAGAATTCTTACAAGCGAGTCAGAGTTCTCAAAAGCAAGTCAGAATTCTCAAACGTGAGTCAGAATTCCCAAAAGCGAGTCAGAATTCCCCAAAGCGAGTCAGAATTCTCAAAAGCGAGTCGGAATTCTCAAAAGCGAGTCGGAATTCTCAAAGGCGAGTCGGAATTCTCAAAAGCGACGCAGCACGAGAATCACTTGCGCGCCGCGAAGCGGCTGCGACTGGCCTAGGAGTTTGGCAAGAGGAGCGTTTGCTGACAAGGGAGGGAATGTGGTGTGGAGGGGGTAGGGGATGCAGAAGAAGAGGGGATGCAGAGAAAGGAGGGGATGTGGTATGGAGGGGGGAGCGGATGCAGAGAGGGGAGGGGATGTGGTATGGAGGGGGGAGGGGATGTGGGTTGGGGAGGGGGGGTGCAGAGAAGGGAGGAGACGTGGAGGGAAGACAGAATGTGAAGGGTAGAGGGGATACAGAGGGGGGAGGGGATGTGGTATGGAGGGAGGAGGAGATGTGGAGAGGGTAGGGGATACAGAGAGGGGACGGGATGTGGTATGGAGGGGGGAGGGTGTGCGGAGGGGGGAGGGGATGTGGAGGGGGGAGGTGACGTGGAGGGGGGAGAGGATGTGGAGGAGGGAGTGTATGCGAAGGGGGGAGGAAAGCCCATCGCTCACTTCTTGCACGGCGGTTTAAAAAGCCTCCTTCTCCATGCGAGACTGGTAGCTGTGTCAAGCTGTGCTATGCACCACCCCCACTGCCACCGCTGGCCACCACTGGCCACCACTGCCCCACCACGGTCCATCACTTACCTTCTGCACGGCGGTTTGGAAAACCTCCTTCTCCATGCGAAGCTGGTAGCTGTGCCAATCTGTGCTATGTCACCACTGCCCAACCCTGCCCACCACTGCCCACCACTGCCCACCACTGCCCACCACTGCCCACCACTGCCCACCACTGCCCATCGCTCACCTTCTGCACAGCGGTTTGGAAAACCTCCTTTTTCTCCATGCGCGGCTGGTAGCTGAACACTTGGTGCAGCAACTCGTTGTCCTGCCATGGGCGGAGGAGAAGAGCGGAAGGGGGGAGATGGGGGCAGGGATTGGGCGGGGAAGAGTGGGGGTGGGTTCTAAAGACCTCCTACTCCATGCGAGGCTGGTAGCTGAACACCAGCAGCTCGTATTCCTGGCAGGGGGAGGGCGAAAGGAGGGGGAAGAAAGGGAGGGTGGGAGGGAGGGAGGGTGTTTGTGGGGGAGGCTTATGGGGAAAAAAAGGCCAGGAGAAGGGTAGTGGAAGCGGATGTGGGTCTAAGTCCCGAAAGGCTTGTGGTTGGGAGTCTGGCATCAGCAGCTATCGACGCGTTGACTCATGGAGACATGGTCAACTCGTGCTGCTGCCAACGAATTCAGCCCAGCCTAGGGGCCGCCTGTAGCTACCCTCAAAACCACCAAGGCAGTTCACAAAATCAACCAAGACAGTCTCGAGAACCGCCAGAGCAGTTCACTGAACTACGGAGGCGATCCGAGCGACAGGGAGGATGGGAACCTCCCTATCGCTCCATTGCAGGTGCTAATTTGATAAGGGATTGTGCTGCAGTTGGAATAGAGAATTGAGATGAACTGGGTGGAGAGTTGAGATGGTTGACAAAAAACGAGTTGATACTGCCAATATCAGTGTGACAAACTAGCGAGGGCGGGAGATAGAAGAACGGGAGGGAGGAGGGACGGAGCGCAAACGGGCGATTGATCTGGACATAGATAGGGAGGGAGGGAGGGAGAGAGAGAGGGAGGCAGCTGGTGGCTGCAGGCCTGATGAAGGCGTAATGATTCATGAAGACCAGATGGAGGTCTGGTTGCATTGATGGGATGGAAAGGGGCGCTAGCTGGAACCATCCCAAGGCATGTGGGTGGGAGTCTGGCATCAGCAGCTACAGACGCGTTGACACATGGGGCACAAGGAGCCATGGCCAACACGTGCTGCTGCCAACGAATTCAGCCCAGCCTAGGGGCTGCCGCACTTGCCCTAATTTCAGCCAGAGCAATCTTAAAGCAACACCAAGGCTGCTTGAACAACCACCGAAGCAGTTTCCCAGGGTGCAAGAGCAGCTTGGGAAACAGCCAAGGCGGTTGGAAAAACCGCCAAGGAAGCTCCAAGAAACAGCCCTAGCAGCCCAAAGGAGCAGTGCAGCAGACCCAGTCAGTGTTGGCACCAATGCTGACGGAATCCCAGAGGGATGGCGTCAGTGCGAGGGACAGGGAGGATGAGCACCCCCCTTTCCCTGCTGCTGGTGCTGATGAGACGAGGGATCAACAATAAGGGAGGGAGGGAGGGAGGGAGGGAGGGAGGGAGGGAGGGAGGGAGGGAGGGAGGGAGGGAGGGAGGGAGGGAGGGAGGAAGAGAGGCAGGTAGGCAGGTAGGCAGGAGGGGAGGACACACCTGCAAATGGCGTTGAAAGCCGTCCGCTAGAAATTTCCGGAGAGCATTCAGCTGGTGGGGGGATGGGGCACGGGAGGGGAAGAAGCAGGGCAACGAGTTGGAAGAATAGAGGGTTGAAGCAGGGCAAAAGGTGGTGACGGAATGAAGGTACTGAGTTAGCAAGCAAGGTGTCAGTACAAGTGGTGATGCCCTCACAGCAATAAGTCTGCTTTTGAGTCGACTCAAAAGCAGAACAAGTGGTGATGCCCTCACAGCAATAAGTCTGCTTTTGAGTCGACTCAAAAGCAGTACAAGTGGTGATGCCCTCACAGCAATAAGTCTGCTTTTGAGTCGACTCAAAAGCAGTACAAGTGGTGATGCCCTCACAGCAATAAGTCTGCTTTTGAGTCGACTCAAAAGCAGTACAAGTGGTGATGCCCTCACAGCAATAAGTCTGCTTTTGAGTCGACTCAAAAGCAGTACAAGTGGTGATGCCCTCACAGCAATAAGTCTGCTTTTGAGTTGACTCAAAAGCAGTACAAGTGGTGATGCCCTCACAGCAATAAGTCTGCTTTTGAGTCGACTCAAAAGCAGTACAAGTGGTGATGCCCTCACAGCAATAAGCACAACACAAATACGCCTTGCCTGCTGTCTCTCCTCACGTGTCAACCATTCACCTGCACTGTCAGCGTCCACGTGTCGACCACTCACCTGCACTGTCAGCGTCCACGTGTCGACACGCAGTGAGTCGCCGTGCTTCAGCTTGATAACTGTCTCGGAGCACCGCCCGTTGTCCTGATGAGGATGAAGGGCCAGGAGAGGGAGGGGCGAGGTTGGAAGGGGAGGGAAGGGGTGGAAAGGGGTTGGAAGGGTTGGAGAGGGGTAGGAGGGGAGGGAGGTAGGGTCGCCGTGCGTCAGCCTGATGTCCGTTTCGGAGCAACGCCTGTTGTCCTGATGAGGGTGGGGAGGGGTGAAGAGGAGGGAGGTAGGGTTGCTGCACGTCAACCTGATGACCGCTCCACACCTGACGACCGACTGAAAGCAACGTACGATCTCGCTGGGAAGCGCTGAATTGAATGTCAGATAAATGCTGCACTCTTACTGAGTGTGCTGTCAGGTGCACCCAGCCACCCATGCACTAAGCTGCCCATGCACCCATGCACTGACGAACCGAGCCGCCCATGCACCGAGCCACAACCAATCTCGCCAAGAACAGAAGCATAAACACACAGTAAACAGACTATATACACACTCACCCGAATGGACCCGAGGATTTCTCGAAATGCCAGGCGCTGGGAGAGGCGGTCCTTCTTGGTCATCTGCTTGCTGCTGCCCACCGTCATCTGCTGCATCTGCTCCACCGCCCTCTGCACCGTCGCACTGCCCTGACGCCCACCTGTTGTATGAAAAAAAAAAGGTGAACGAGGCATGGGCATGAGGTATGTGTTGAGCTAACAGTAGGCTCATCTGCTTGCTGCTGCATCTGCTCCACCGCCCTCTGTACCGTCGCACTGCCTTGACGCCCACCTCTGAACGAGGTATGAAAGAAGGGTGCACAGAGCATGGGGCATGACGCATGGGGCATGATATGAATTAAAACTCCGCTCATCTGCTTGCTGCTGCTACACCGCCCTGGCGCCCACCTGTTGTACGAGACAGAGGGATCCACGAACTCCCGTGGAGTTATCAGGCAAAATTATCGTATCCACACCACACCACAGCACCGCACAATACTGCACAGCACAGCACCGGGAGATGCACCTTTGCCAGTACTGCCTTTTCTAAGCTAATTCCGCTAGTAACAAGGTTGACTCGCTCACCTCCCACCCACAGGCTGATCAGGCAGCTCATCCACGATATAGCCATTCGAGTCAATTCTCTCCACAGCACCACACAGTACCGCACAGCACAGCACAGCACAGCACTGCAACCTCAGGGCCTGGGTCTACACATCGACCACGGGTTTATCAGGCACTACCACCCCATCCATAATAGAGTCATCCGAGTCACTGCTCTCCACTGCACCGCACAGCACTAAACTGCACAGCACCACACAGTACCGCATAGCATAGCATAGCACTGCTATCTCAGGGCCTGGTCGACTCACCTCCCACGGGTTTATCAGGCAGCACCACCCCATCCACAATAGAGTCATCCGAGTCACTGCTCTCCACAGCACCGTTTGCCAAGCCATTTGCCGAACCTCCTCCCGAGCCTGCACCGTTACCAGCTTCGTCTGCGGCGTCTGCAGGGCAGTGCTCGTGCACGAGGGCTATGGCCTCGCCTGCTGCCCCCCTCACACCCAGGTCCGCGTCTTGGAGGCAGCGGGATAGAACTTCCAGCTCACTGGTTGGGGGGTGTGAGGCGGGGGGTGTGAAAAGAGAGACGTGTAGAGGATGGTGAGTGGGAAGGAAGGGATTGAGGGAGGGAGAACGAGGGCTATGGCCTCGCCTGCTGCCCCCCTCACCTCACTCCCAGGTCCGCGCCTTGCAGGCAGCGGGAGAGAACTTCCAGCTCACTGGTTGGGGGGGGAGATAGTGAAGGGAGAGACGTGAAGGAAAGGGAATGGGATTACAGGCAGCGAGAAGGAGCTAGCGCAACGCACCTGCGCGTGTGGAACTGCACGAGCTGCAGCAGCAGCAGCTGGAGGAGAGCAGCAGGGTCAAGTTGCAAGAGCCCACTTTTGAGGCGCCACAAAAGCAGCAGGGTCAAGTTGCAAGAGCCCACTTTTGAGGCGCCACAAAAGCAGCAGGGTCAAGTTGCAAGAGCCCACTTTTGAGGCGCCACAAAAGCAGCAGGGTCAAGTTGCAAGAGCCCACTTTTGAGGCGCCACAAAAGCAGCAGGGTCAAGTTGCAAGAGCCCACTTTTGAGGCGCCACAAAAGCAGCAGGGTCAAGTTGCAAGAGCCCACTTTTGAGGCGCCACAAAAGCAGCAGGGTCAAGTTGCAAGAGCCCACTTTTGAGGCGCCACAAAAGCAGCAGGGTCAAGTTGCAAGAGCCCACTTTTGAGGCGCCACAAAAGCAGCAGGGTCAAGTTGCAAGAGCCCACTTTTGAGGCGCCACAAAAGCAGCAGGGTCAAGTTGCAAGAGCCCACTTTTGAGGCGCCACAAAAGCAGCAGGGTCAAGTTGCAAGAGCCCACTTTTGAGGCGCCACAAAAGCAGCAGGGTCAAGTTGCAAGAGCCCACTTTTGAGGCGCCACAAAAGCAGCAGGGTCAAGTTGCAAGAGCCCACTTTTGAGGCGCCACAAAAGCAGCAGGGTCAAGTTGCAAGAGCCCACTTTTGAGGCGCCACAAAAGCAGCAGGGTCAAGTTGCAAGAGCCCACTTTTGAGGCGCCACAAAAGCAGCAGGGTCAAGTTGCAAGAGCCCACTTTTGAGGCGCCACAAAAGCAGCAGGGTCAAGTTGCAAGAGCCCACTTTTGAGGCGCCACAAAAGCAGCAGGGTCAAGTTGCAAGAGCCCACTTTTGAGGCGCCACAAAAGCAGCAGGGTCAAGTTGCAAGAGCCCACTTTTGAGGCGCCACAAAAGCAGCAGGGTCAAGTTGCAAGAGCCCACTTTTGAGGCGCCACAAAAGCAGCAGGGTCAAGTTGCAAGAGCCCACTTTTGAGGCGCCACAAAAGCAGCAGGGTCAAGTTGCAAGAGCCCACTTTTGAGGCGCCACAAAAGCAGCAGGGTCAAGTTGCAAGAGCCCACTTTTGAGGCGCCACAAAAGCAGCAGGGTCAAGTTGCAAGAGCCCACTTTTGAGGCGCCACAAAAGCAGCAGGGTCAAGTTGCAAGAGCCCACTTTTGAGGCGCCACAAAAGCAGCAGGGTCAAGTTGCAAGAGCCCACTTTTGAGGCGCCACAAAAGCAGCAGGGTCAAGTTGCAAGAGCCCACTTTTGAGGCGCCACAAAAGCAGCAGGGTCAAGTTGCAAGAGCCCACTTTTGAGGCGCCACAAAAGCAGCAGGGTCAAGTTGCAAGAGCCCACTTTTGAGGCGCCACAAAAGCAGCAGGGTCAAGTTGCAAGAGCCCACTTTTGAGGCGCCACAAAAGCAGCAGGGTCAAGTTGCAAGAGCCCACTTTTGAGGCGCCACAAAAGCAGCAGGGTCAAGTTGCAAGAGCCCACTTTTGAGGCGCCACAAAAGCAGCAGGGTCAAGTTGCAAGAGCCCACTTTTGAGGCGCCACAAAAGCAGCAGGGTCAAGTTGCAAGAGCCCACTTTTGAGGCGCCACAAAAGCAGCAGGGTCAAGTTGCAAGAGCCCACTTTTGAGGCGCCACAAAAGCAGCAGGGTCAAGTTGCAAGAGCCCACTTTTGAGGCGCCACAAAAGCAGCAGGGTCAAGTTGCAAGAGCCCACTTTTGAGGCGCCACAAAAGCAGCAGGGTCAAGTTGCAAGAGCCCACTTTTGAGGCGCCACAAAAGCAGCAGGGTCAAGTTGCAAGAGCCCACTTTTGAGGCGCCACAAAAGCAGCAGGGTCAAGTTGCAAGAGCCCACTTTTGAGGCGCCACAAAAGCAGCAGGGTCAAGTTGCAAGAGCCCACTTTTGAGGCGCCACAAAAGCAGCAGGGTCAAGTTGCAAGAGCCCACTTTTGAGGCGCCACAAAAGCAGCAGGGTCAAGTTGCAAGAGCCCACTTTTGAGGCGCCACAAAAGCAGCAGGGTCAAGTTGCAAGAGCCCACTTTTGAGGCGCCACAAAAGCAGCAGGGTCAAGTTGCAAGAGCCCACTTTTGAGGCGCCACAAAAGCAGCAGGGTCAAGTTGCAAGAGCCCACTTTTGAGGCGCCACAAAAGCAGCAGGGTCAAGTTGCAAGAGCCCACTTTTGAGGCGCCACAAAAGCAGCAGGGTCAAGTTGCAAGAGCCCACTTTTGAGGCGCCACAAAAGCAGCAGGGTCAAGTTGCAAGAGCCCACTTTTGAGGCGCCACAAAAGCAGCAGGGTCAAGTTGCAAGAGCCCACTTTTGAGGCGCCACAAAAGCAGCAGGGTCAAGTTGCAAGAGCCCACTTTTGAGGCGCCACAAAAGCAGCAGGGTCAAGTTGCAAGAGCCCACTTTTGAGGCGCCACAAAAGCAGCAGGGTCAAGTTGCAAGAGCCCACTTTTGAGGCGCCACAAAAGCAGCAGGGTCAAGTTGCAAGAGCCCACTTTTGAGGCGCCACAAAAGCAGCAGGGTCAAGTTGCAAGAGCCCACTTTTGAGGCGCCACAAAAGCAGCAGGGTCAAGTTGCAAGAGCCCACTTTTGAGGCGCCACAAAAGCAGCAGGGTCAAGTTGCAAGAGCCCACTTTTGAGGCGCCACAAAAGCAGCAGGGTCAAGTTGCAAGAGCCCACTTTTGAGGCGCCACAAAAGCAGCAGGGTCAAGTTGCAAGAGCCCACTTTTGAGGCGCCACAAAAGCAGCAGGGTCAAGTTGCAAGAGCCCACTTTTGAGGCGCCACAAAAGCAGCAGGGTCAAGTTGCAAGAGCCCACTTTTGAGGCGCCACAAAAGCAGCAGGGTCAAGTTGCAAGAGCCCACTTTTGAGGCGCCACAAAAGCAGCAGGGTCAAGTTGCAAGAGCCCACTTTTGAGGCGCCACAAAAGCAGCAGGGTCAAGTTGCAAGAGCCCACTTTTGAGGCGCCACAAAAGCAGCAGGGTCAAGTTGCAAGAGCCCACTTTTGAGGCGCCACAAAAGCAGCAGGGTCAAGTTGCAAGAGCCCACTTTTGAGGCGCCACAAAAGCAGCAGGGTCAAGTTGCAAGAGCCCACTTTTGAGGCGCCACAAAAGCAGCAGGGTCAAGTTGCAAGAGCCCACTTTTGAGGCGCCACAAAAGCAGCAGGGTCAAGTTGCAAGAGCCCACTTTTGAGGCGCCACAAAAGCAGCAGGGTCAAGTTGCAAGAGCCCACTTTTGAGGCGCCACAAAAGCAGCAGGGTCAAGTTGCAAGAGCCCACTTTTGAGGCGCCACAAAAGCAGCAGGGTCAAGTTGCAAGAGCCCACTTTTGAGGCGCCACAAAAGCAGCAGGGTCAAGTTGCAAGAGCCCACTTTTGAGGCGCCACAAAAGCAGCAGGGTCAAGTTGCAAGAGCCCACTTTTGAGGCGCCACAAAAGCAGCAGGGTCAAGTTGCAAGAGCCCACTTTTGAGGCGCCACAAAAGCAGCAGGGTCAAGTTGCAAGAGCCCACTTTTGAGGCGCCACAAAAGCAGCAGGGTCAAGTTGCAAGAGCCCACTTTTGAGGCGCCACAAAAGCAGCAGGGTCAAGTTGCAAGAGCCCACTTTTGAGGCGCCACAAAAGCAGCAGGGTCAAGTTGCAAGAGCCCACTTTTGAGGCGCCACAAAAGCAGCAGGGTCAAGTTGCAAGAGCCCACTTTTGAGGCGCCACAAAAGCAGCAGGGTCAAGTTGCAAGAGCCCACTTTTGAGGCGCCACAAAAGCAGCAGGGTCAAGTTGCAAGAGCCCACTTTTGAGGCGCCACAAAAGCAGCAGGGTCAAGTTGCAAGAGCCCACTTTTGAGGCGCCACAAAAGCAGCAGGGTCAAGTTGCAAGAGCCCACTTTTGAGGCGCCACAAAAGCAGCAGGGTCAAGTTGCAAGAGCCCACTTTTGAGGCGCCACAAAAGCAGCAGGGTCAAGTTGCAAGAGCCCACTTTTGAGGCGCCACAAAAGCAGCAGGGTCAAGTTGCAAGAGCCCACTTTTGAGGCGCCACAAAAGCAGCAGGGTCAAGTTGCAAGAGCCCACTTTTGAGGCGCCACAAAAGCAGCAGGGTCAAGTTGCAAGAGCCCACTTTTGAGGCGCCACAAAAGCAGCAGGGTCAAGTTGCAAGAGCCCACTTTTGAGGCGCCACAAAAGCAGCAGGGTCAAGTTGCAAGAGCCCACTTTTGAGGCGCCACAAAAGCAGCAGGGTCAAGTTGCAAGAGCCCACTTTTGAGGCGCCACAAAAGCAGCAGGGTCAAGTTGCAAGAGCCCACTTTTGAGGCGCCACAAAAGCAGCAGGGTCAAGTTGCAAGAGCCCACTTTTGAGGCGCCACAAAAGCAGCAGGGTCAAGTTGCAAGAGCCCACTTTTGAGGCGCCACAAAAGCAGCAGGGTCAAGTTGCAAGAGCCCACTTTTGAGGCGCCACAAAAGCAGCAGGGTCAAGTTGCAAGAGCCCACTTTTGAGGCGCCACAAAAGCAGCAGGGTCAAGTTGCAAGAGCCCACTTTTGAGGCGCC